AAACATGTTAGGGTATTTTCATGTCTCCTATTAGCTGATATTTGACGAGATTTTAAAAGGCGTAATGAGTTACCTGATGGGATGATTGCAGGTTCAGGATCTCCTAAAATGTATATAGATTATATAAGTTAAATAAAAATAACACATTGAATACATTTCTTGGATACTGAACACTGAAAAAATATGGAATTACTAATTTGAGTTCAATGATAAGAGTCACTAAGTATATTTGATGATATTATTGTGAATAAAGTAATTTATATATTATAACCTATTTATGTAAAACCTTAATTTAAATTTTCAATTATTTGCTATAAAAGTTGAACATTTTATACATTTTTAACTACAAAATAGTTTTAAATTTTAAATTTGATAAATAAAGTCAAAATTTGAACTTTAAATGCTGATAAAAAAAAAAAAATGTGCCTATGTATTTATAATATTTTACAAAAACTAAAAAATTTGGAAACTACTCAAATCCTATTACAAAATGCTAATATAAATATTCAGTCAAAACTTCATGTATTTACGGTAATTTATTTTAGAGTTAAACTAAAAACCAAAAACAGTTTTGTCAAAAATCGGGTTTGCATAAAAATTCCTGTTTTTTCCTTAATTTTTCATTTGTTTTTCATGGCAGTTTTGAAAACTACTGTAATATTTTGACAGCCTAAAGTACCAACTAGATTAACTTTCCTATCAGAAAAGCTACTGTTGAAGAAAATCAAAGCATTTTTTACTGTACTAAAAATGACGACAAACACAACAATTACAAAATTAAAAATTAAAAAACCACACATCATTGTAAAAGCAATACATTCATCGCTCCGCTCAGAATCTAAATAATAATTTGAATACAAAATTTTAAATGAATAATAAAAACCTAAAAAAAAGCCTAGTAGAATAAAAAATCATTTGTTATCAAAAAAATCTTATTTAAATATAAAAAGATAACTTCAATAAAATTAATCTACGTTTAATGAAAAAGAAATCTAATTTGGATAAAATAGTCAAGTTGATAAAAATTTAAATTTAATAAAAAATATCTGATATGGATATAAAAAATCGGCTAAAAAATTTATTTTTGTAGAAAATAGATCAAAATGTACCTCAAAGAATTAATTTGTCTCCAATGGAACAAAATGTCCCTGGATCAAATTTTCCCGTTACCATATTTTTAGATGAATGGATCAAAATGTCCCCAAGGAAAAAACGGATAAAAAATGTCACTTACCATTTTTCTTATTACATTTTTATTCAAATTAGACTTATTTTAAACTGATTACGAACATTTTCAGTTTCCAACTTTTTTAGGTTTTTTTTCTACAAATCTCAATAAAACTTTATTTGTATGGTAAAAAAGTTTATAGTAAATATTGTTACATTGACATTTGAAAAATATTAAAAATCCTTAGTCACAGTTTTTTTTTTTATAAGTATTTAAAGTTCAAAAATTGACAAAATAATGAAAAATCACGAAAATTAGCAAATTATTTTGAGTTAAGAATTCATTAAAATTTTTTTTTTTAAATCTAAGGTTTTAAAATGTAATACAAGATTCTTTATAAGATTATCTACCATTATCAAAAAAAAAAGTATTTAAAAGTATTTTGACTTGTTTGGAGCTGTTTACGGAAAATTTAATATTTCAATTTTTTTTTTTTTTTTCTATGAATATCAATAAAGTTTTATCTGTTTGGCCAAAAAGTTTAAAAATGTAATACAAGGCTCCTGATATATTGTTACAATAGCAGTTGAAAAATATTAAAAATACATAGGCACAATTTTTTTTATGAGCATTTAAAGATCGAATTTATCAAATTTAAAATTGAATAATAAACACAGTTTATTTTTATAGTCATTTTAAGTTCAAATTTGGACGAAATTACAAAAAAAAAAAACCTAGAATAACTATTTTAGTTATTTTGTTGTGATTGTATAATATTATTTGTGGGTACTTGAAACTTCTAAAGTATATTACTATATATCTATGGACTATGATAGTATCGGGGTTTGTTTTTGATATATAACGCATTATAAGTACCTAATGGATATTGTGGTATGATTAATTTGGAATTTTTTATAGGTATCTATTATAGGTCAATTATTATTTTAATACCATAGATAAGTATATAATATGTCTTAAACAGTTAAACCTAGACTGACATATCGTCTCCGCTCAGAATCGTTTTTCTTATACAATGATATTATATCATTGAATTCAAATTTAATACCATTCAATATATTGGTACAGTGACCTACTTGTAACCTACTGTACAGCAGAGCGACATCCACTTTTTTTTGTAATAAATTTAAATTTTTATAAATTATACAATATGCTAAACTTACCTATTTTAATTAGGCGGGTTGCTTCCCTTTCCCTAAATGTTTCACATGAAATTCGATCATCAATGATGGACATAAGAGCCTTTTGTTTAGCTGGTCCAATTAATCGACGTTTTTTGGTATGCTTAGTATGATCTTCAGCAAAATTACCAATATACGTGCAATGCATTAAAACCCTAAGAAAATTAAAAGAAAATAGTTTATAAGATGTTTGATATACTTACAATAATAAGAACTTATGAAATTGAAAATAAAAAATGAAAAATAACTCATGTTTAATACCTTGCATTTCCTGATGGTTTATCTGTTACAATTCCTCTGAATTTAGATTCACAAGATACACAACGACCAACAACATCTATATAATTTGAACCATTAGGGTACACTTTGGCTCTACGGAATGATATACAGCATTGAAGTTGAGTATGAACCCAAAAATGTTCAGCAAGCAACGGAGTCCACGAATTTTGGGGGCAAAATATAGTATGACCTTGAATTTAAAAATGGCCGATTTTTGTCTTTAATCCTGTAAATGTGTTCTTGAGGTTGGATTTGTTTCCACTCCTCTGGGGATAAAGTGAATACGAATTTCTTTGTTGGATATTCATCGTCGTCACTTGTACTATCAGTGGAGTTTTCTAGTAAATATAATAAAAGGAATATATATTTTAAAGGAATATAACCAATTCATATAATTTGTTTATGTTATATTTTTATTTTTATAATTATATTGTATTCCACAGACATTATATTATGTAATAATTTTAAAGAAAAAAATATTTAAAAAATGTATTTAATTTAAAAAAGCTTTGATTTAAATACTTGACAAATGGAAAAAAGGTTATCCGTATTAATAAAAATTTAAGTTACACAAAGAAAATCGTTATGAAAAGAAAAATGTATGATATTGAATGTAAAACTGTAAATAATAATATTCTAATATTTTTTATAATTAACTAGCTGAATTACCCGACGTTAGCCAGAAAAAAAAAATTCTGATTGTTAAACTCCTTTGGTCCAGTCGTTTAAATATGAGTGAAGGATAGACAGACAAACATTCATTTACATATATATATATATACATATTCATTATTTGAATAATTGTATGAAGTATACTTTTATGATATATTTCCTACTTAATCAGTTTATTATTATACATAATATTCTAAATACAAATAAAAGTAGTTAGACTTTATAAGATAGCATTATAAATGTATGTATTTAGGGTAAATATTTCGTCACTTACCGGATTCATATTGAACATTTTTTTTTGAAAGAACATGTGATGTGACAATATTTTTAAAAAGTCCAAGTTTCTCTCTTATTCCGTGGCGTCCTTTAAAAACGAATGTATGGATTGCAATTGCACTCATAGCACTATTTAAATATAAGCTTATATCATTCCAAACATTGTTTTTAGCTACAGCAATTTCTAAAAATGAAAATGTCGATTGATTTTTTTGAGCATAAAGATTTAATATTAAGTTAAATGTTGTTATTACAATATTAGACACCCAATTTTTATAAATATGAGTTCTTAAATAAAATGAGTATGGAAATTTTAAATTATTTAGATTTTCGAAAATTCAATAAATATCTAGTACCAATATTACGAGAGCCTATGTAATAATATAGTAATATTTAAAATTCATTATTATTTTTACAAAATGTCATTGTGTACTAGTCTAACTGGGGTGGGAACTACAAAGTTGAAGTTCTCTCCCCCCCCCCAGAATAGTCACCTGACAAGTTCCCTAAGCTGGTGAACTTATTATATTCTGAGTGGAGTAGTATGTATATTAATATTATACATATTATGTGTTTTTATATTTGAAATTTTGGTTACGGTAGAGTAACTTATGAGGAACCATATTTTAATTTCTCAACCCTCGAATATAAAAATTAAACATTACATTTAGAACTACAAAATTTGGAAATTTTTGGGATTTTGATGAATTTTATCAAAATTTAAATATGGTCATTAAGTCAGCCCAACATTCATAAAAATTATCCACACTAGTACAAATATTTAGAAAATTAATTGTAAATTGATTTTTAGAATTTGCAAATCAAGTGCAAAAGTGCAAAGTCTCAAATTAAAAATTATGATTGGGGCAGAGGGGGTTAACTTCATCGCAAATATTAAGAACGGTTAGGTTAAAACTCACGCACGAAGTACCTATCTAATACGGCTTTACTATAAACTATTCATGCATTCAGAATCATTATAATCTGGTACAGATGGTGTTATAACTATTATAATTATATAATTACTTTTTGATTTCATAATTTTAAATATTCTTAATACTCGTAAATAATAAAAATATTTTTAAGCGTATTTTTTTCCAAGCGTAGTAGTGATATTAAGCTATATAAAAGTAAACTTACGTTTTTCGCCATTATCAGAAGTAGTGATTACTCTGTCCTTAAACAAAATAACTGCATCAATGACAGTCACCGGTGGACAAGCACATTTTCGTCCAGCCATTTTAAAAACGCGTATAAAATAACAATTTATATTATGATAAATGAAATCAATAACGGTTCACGGACTTGCTAAGAGCATGGATATCGGAGACCAAATGACAAATTATCAATTAATCAGATTATCAGATTTAGATTTAATATAATAATATATATATTTATAGATTCAATTAAAACGTACCGATATAAAAATANGAAGCCGAGCCTACGTTGTGAGATGATTTCACGGACGGCGAACTACTGGTTGTTCCTGTAGACAACAACGATCGAGCACAAGACGTGGGCTTAGTTTTGTTAGTGCGAGTGTCGACCTTGAATAGACCTTGAGTGTCTTCTAATATCTTACACCGTTGTTGTACGAACTTAATTAACAGGTCAAACGTAGGAATCGAATCATGTGTGACACTGTTTTCAAAAAGGCGACGCGTGGCGGGGTCAAGCACCCGCGAACCGATAAAAAACAAAATGAATCCCGCCAGATCTGTTACCCCCAACGCTTTGATTGCTGCAATGTTTTCTTGAAAGACGTTGACGAACGTTAAGAGCGACGGTAGTGACTCCGTAGTGATCGGACGAAAAGCAAATAACTTATCTAAATGAGCCGTGGCAAGGAGACGTTGATTGTCATAACGTTCGATCATGGCTCCCCAAGCTATGTCATAGTTGGCTTCTGAGAGGGGTATAGACTTAACAATTGTACGTGCTGACCCAGACACACACATTAACAAATAGTGAAATCGTTTTAACTTTCCGATCTTTGGATTAGTATGTACCAATGATAAGAAAGTGTCTCGAAAAGAACACCATTCTACAAGATTTCCATCGAAATTTGGTAACTCAATCGTTGGTAGTTGTATGAAATCCGACATATCATTAACATTACCTCCCATGCTACGAGGCGACGAGGCCGTAATTGTCGGCGGCGACGAGGGCGCACACGACAGCTTACGTACGACAAAACCAAAGAAAAAAAACACGAACAGAACGTGGTTTGCGTCAAAAAAAAACAACAACAACCGAACGAACAGACTGTTTTGCGACGGAACTCTTATTATCAACAAAAACAATGATAATAACGATACGCGCTATTGATTTCGCTATCGATTTCACTTATCAGGGAAACAACAGGTTGTGCGGTGTAGATCATTAGTTCCCACACCGCCTTCTTCGACGGCGCTGATAATAACGTACCCAACATTTCTCCCCACCTTGGAAGACGCAGGTACCTTCCAAAAGAACAGACTTCTTGCGGTCAATCTTAAAGTTACTTACAAAACATAAAAATAAAATAAAATAACTATGAACAAAACACTACAAATTACAAGGATCGGCAGGATGTTCACGAAAGATTTTTTTTTGAATGGGATAGTGAATGGAGAGGTTAGGAAGTTGTTGTGTCAACCGGAAGCTTGACCAGTTTGACCACAGGACGCTGCATTTCTCCATCTTGAGTTTTTAAAGTGACCACACGAACTATCTGGTCGGGCCCTGGATGGACGGCGATGACGCGACCCATACGCCAAACATAAGGTGGCTGGTTTGGAGCGTCAATGATTACTACATCACCTACTGCGAGATTGTCCGACACCTTCGTCCATTTCTGACGGGCCTGCAAGGTAGTGAGGTATTCCCGTTGCCATCGCTTCCAAAAAGATTGATGCAGTTGACGCAATAATTGCCATCGTGTCAATCGATTTAAGGGTACAGAAGTGACATCCTTTTCTGGGATCGACGACAGGGGTTGGCCAATGAGGAAGTGTCCAGGAGTCAGGGCATCAAGATCATGGGGGTCAGTAGAAGCTGGTGTCAACGGTCTTGAGTTTAGGACGCCTTCCACCCTGGTGACGACAGTTTGAAACTCTTCGTATGTTAATATTTGAGTTCCTATAACAAGCTTAAGGTGGAACTTTATACTTTTTATTGCTGCTTCCCACAGCCCACCGAAGTGCGGTGCGGCTGGTGGATTAAAATGCCAGTTACACTCGATTCGAGAAGACAGCCGGTTTTGCACTTCCCCCCTCCCCACCAAAAAATAGATCCACATTTTTGATTTTTCTTAACACATTTTTAGTTATAAATCTTTATGGTTAAGTCATGGTTGCCTAACCACAACCGTGGTTATGTTAAAATTGTATTAAATATATTCTATGCTAGCACTTATCCGTTATTATTGTACTGCTAAGTTCAAAAGGGTCATGTCATAGTACAAAATATTCTTTCCAAAAAAAAAAAATATTTATTGACACAATACTACTACACCGGGTTACAGTGGTGCTCGACCGCCCCCTAAATAGATCAATATTTGGCCACTCGGAGCAAATGGCCTCACCCCCTCCCCCCTCCTAAATACGGCCCTGGTTGTTCTAAATCTAATTACAAAATTAGTTTTGTAAAACCTATGAATAAAGGAAAAGATTGAACTAGGTATTATTATTAACTATAGGCATATTATTTCAATCATTAAAAAATCATTTAAATCTATTTTTTATGATTGATTTATTTTAATTTTTCAAAAAATATATTATACTTGATGTATTTGCTTCCAATTTTCAAGTAGATGTAAATTTTACAGATTTTGCAAAGGCCTTTGACAAAATAAGTCATTATGTTCTTTCTAATAAGCTGTATTCCATCGGTATTCATGACCCTTTTTTGTCTTGGTTGGCCTCATACTTAACGGACAGAAGGCAAATGTTTGAATTGTTAAATTAAAAAATATTCTCTCTGATCAATTAAAGGTTCCACAAGGATCTCACTTAGTCCCTTTGTTATTTTTATATTTCAGGAATGATTTGCATTTTCTTAATTCTAAAAAATTACTTTTTGCCGATGATATGAAAATCTTTGGTTTAATAAAATTACATTCTGATAGAGTTATCCTTCAAAATGATTTAATTACACTATGAGAAAGTAAGGAACCTAAATTAATGAAATAATAAATTGTATACATAGGTACAATAACAAAGAGACTAGAAGTGTGTTCGTTTTGAGATATGAAAATATAGATTGCAGCAAATGTTGATTTAATGGAATGGTAATATGTGTTTTTGTATGTGGAATCGAAAAACAACTCAATTTGGATATTAAAGTATGGATATGCTAGCAGCAACTCATGACCTGTATAAGAGAGGTGGGGGGTGTACATATCTTTAGGATGAAATAGACAAGATATACAATCTAAATACCAGCTGAGATGTGAGAGATAGCGTCCAGTAGCTTGGAAAAAGTATGAAAAGTTTAGGGCGAGAGTTCTTATAATTCAGAAGAAAAATAACACAAGGGCAAAGAAGTATTAATCATTTTTGAATCAGGGTCAATATTGTGACAAATTTTAAAATTCTTATAATGATCAGAATATTGAAACTGCATTTAATTTGGTAAAAGATTAAACTAACGTTGAAGAAAAGAAAAAATAATAATTAATTCAAACAATGTTGGCTAAGTCGATAACTTTTGAGATTATGAATAGTAGTCCACACAGCCAATACTAATTGAATAAATAATAATCAACAAGAAATAAATTAATATGAATAAAAAAACATAAACATAAAAAATGGAAAACCTAAATAAATATATATTTACACTAGTAAATTTTATTAGTAAATTAATATTAAGAAAAAAAGAAAATGCTTATTACAAGTATATCTATTAATGGAAATATATAAATATTATATAAAAACTGGGGGATGAATTTATTTTTATAGTAAGACAAACATAATATGTTGAAAAAAAACTGTATTACTAACAAATTATTTTTATTATGTAATAAATAAACACATATTGTAAATTATTAACACACATATTATAACCAACAATGTAAACCAGATCAGAGTAAATACGAATTGAGGTCATCTTGTAGAAATTGACAGTCAGAATTTGATTTGACTTTTATAAACATTTTGAGGTCTACAGCGAATAATAAAAAGTAACAGTGACGAATGCTATCTCTAATGTCATTGACGAAGAGTCGAAAAAGTAATGATGAGGAATAACCCATTGTGGTACACCTGAAGTGACGTTGACTATTGTAGAGTAAGCTCCATGGATTTATACTAATAGTTTACTTTATGTAAGCATGAGAAACACCATGATAATAAAGGCTCACCGAAACCGAAACCAGTGTTTTAATACTTCTAATGGTTGACCCAGTCGAGCGCTTTTGAAAAATCTGTATTTACAACTTCAACTTGTGAGTGATCAGTGAAAGCATCAATAATGTATTTAGAAAATATAATATTGCAAGATATTGCAAGTAGAAGTTGATAAAAGATGGCGAAATCCATCCTGCATGTTTAGGATAGCATTAACTGATGGCTGAATATTTTGCAAGATGAGATAATCAAAAAGTTTAGCAACTTGGCTAAGTATAGATATTGGTCTAGATAGTTTAGAATATCAGTAATATTCCCTGTCTTGAATACTAGTGTGACATCACTGAGTTTGAGAACATCGGGAAAAACACCTTCACTAAGTGACTTACAGAATACAAGTTATAGTGGGATATATGACAGATTTTATATTAGCGAGAAATATACCAGGAAGTCCATCAGGGCCACTGGATCTAGTAAAAGGGAACATCGATAATCCGTTATCAACATCAGAAACATCAAAAGAACAACTGGGTAGATCATGGAATAGGTGGAGCTGATAATTTAAGTTGACATTAGTTGAGAGAAGAGATTGCAGTAGTCAGTTCATCTGAGCTATGGATACCGTTCAAAAATACAGATTTAGGAATAGTACTTGTGCGATTGCGACCGTCCCGGTTGTATAGTCACGCGGGACAATACCGACAACCTAGAAATGCCGGATAAAAGAAAAAGGAGGTAACTCGAAATACCGAGGAATTGGCTTTGGAGTAAATACAATATGATATGTGCTTTGACAGCTATGTAGTGGACTGTAATAAAATCTCTTACTTACTAATGACAAGTAATGGGAAGGGGGGGAGTACTTAAAATACTTAATGTTAATAATTAGATGCACAAAAGTTACAGCTCATATTACAAATGGTTAAAAATATATGTATATATATAAGATATATCACCGGAGATGATCAATGATCTATTCTCTGCATCAGTGGAGGCGGAAATGAAGGTTGCAGCGGGCGCCACTGATGACGGCGCGTAATTCCGGCGGCGCCGAATGGCACACGCGCGAAATACGATATACGTACGGCGACGAGGCCGTGATCACCGGCGACGGCGAGGGCGTGTACAACGGTATAGTTCGTACGGTGACGAGGTCGTACTTGTCGGCGGCGACGAGGGCGCACACGAAAACTTACACTGCGTACGGCGACGAGGGCGCACACGAAACTTGCATACGAACGGCGACGGAAGCCGTAATTGTCGATGGCGACGATNTGGAAAAATAAAAATTTTTTTTTTTTTCCATGCACTTCCAACTTATATTTCTATCTCTTTTGCTTGATGTTCACCCCAGACTTCTCTCTCTATGAGCGGTCCATTAGTTAATATGTCTATGTGTACAACGGTATAGTTCGTACGGTGACGAGGTCGTACTTGTCGGCGGCGACGAGGGCGCACACGAAAACTTACACTGCGTACGGCGACGAGGCCGTACTTGTCGATGGCGACGAGGGCGCACACGAAACTTGCATACGAACGGCGACGGAAGCCGTAATTGTCGATGGCGACGAGGGCGCACACGAAACTTGCATACGAACGGCGACGGAAGCCGTAATTGTCGATGGCGACGAGGGCGCACACGACATTTGACAATGCGTACGGCGACGAGGCCGTAATTGTCGGCGGCGACGAGGGCGCACACGACAACTTACATGCGTACGGCGACGAGGCCGTAATTGTTGGCGGCGACGGGGGCGCACACGAAAACTGACAATGCGTACGGCGACGAGTCCGTAATTGTCGGCGGCGACGAGGGCGCACACAAGAACTTACGTACGTACGGCGACAAGGCCGTAATTGTTGGCGGCGACGGGGGCGCACACGACAGCTTACGTACGACAAAACCAAAGAAAAAAAACACGAACAGAACGTGGTTTGCGTCAAAAAAAAACAACAACAACCGAACGAACAGACTGTTTTGCGACGGAACTCTTATTATCAACAAAAACAATGATAATAACGATACGCGCTATTGATTTCGATATCGATTTCACTTATCAGGGAAACAACAGGTTGTGCGGTGTAGATCATTAGTTCCCACACCGCCTTCTTCGACGGCGCTGATAATAACGTACCCAACATTTCTCCCCACCTTGGAAGACGCAGGTACCTTCCAAAAGAACAGACTTCTTGCGGTCAATCTTAAAGTTACTTACAAAACATAAAAATAAAATAAAATAACTATGAACAAAACACTACAAATTACAAGGATCGGCAGGATGTTCACGAAAGATTTTTTTTTGAATGGGATAGTGAATGGAGAGGTTAGGAAGTTGTTGTGTCAACCGGAAGCTTGACCAGTTTGACCACAGGACGCTGCATTTCTCCATCTTGAGTTTTTAAAGTGACCACACGAACTATCTGGTCGGGCCCTGGATGGACGGCGATGACGCGACCCATACGCCAAACATAAGGTGGCTGGTTTGGAGCGTCAATGATTACTACATCACCTACTGCGAGATTGTCCGACACCTTCGTCCATTTCTGACGGGCCTGCAAGGTAGTGAGGTATTCCCGTTGCCATCGCTTCCAAAAAGATTGATGCAGTTGACGCAATAATTGCCATCGTGTCAATCGATTTAAGGGTACAGAAGTGACATCCTTTTCTGGGATCGACGACAGGGGTTGGCCAATGAGGAAGTGTCCAGGAGTCAGGGCATCAAGATCATGGGGGTCAGTAGAAGCTGGTGTCAACGGTCTTGAGTTTAGGACGCCTTCCACCCTGGTGACGACAGTTTGAAACTCTTCGTATGTTAATATTTGAGTTCCTATAACAAGCTTAAGGTGGAACTTTATACTTTTTATTGCTGCTTCCCACAGCCCACCGAAGTGCGGTGCGGCTGGAGGATTAAAATGCCAGTTACACTCGATTCGAGAAGACAGCCGGTTTTGCACTTCGTTGTCAGCAAGTAATGTTTGCAATTGCCTGGCAGCACCGACGTAGTTCGTGCCGCAATATGAGTATAGATCTGTGGGCAAACCTCGACGAGAAACAAATCTATCCAGCGCTGCGAGGAATGCTTCAGTTGTGAGGTCTGACACTACCTCGACATGAATGGCTTTGACAGCCATGCATATAAAAACAGAGATGTACACTTTGGTAGTTCGAATATTGCGCCGCTTACGTTCTTTTACTAAGAACGGTCCACCGAAGTCCAAACCTACCTTGGAAAAGACGCGGTGTGGTTGAACTCGCGACTCCAGCAACCTCCCCATGCTTGGAATAGGATTTTGCGCCTTGTGTCGAGTACAAGGTAAGCACGAGAATATCATACGACGTACAGAATCTCGACCAGACATTATCCAAAACCTTTGTCTCAACATAGAAATGACCAACTTTGGCCCCGCATGTAAAAAGGTTAAATGATAATGGTTGATGATCAATGCCGTTAAATGAGACGACTTGGGCAGGAGGCTGGGATGTTTCGCCTCTTCGGTCAACCAAGAACTTTGAAGCCTTCCGCCTACTCGGATTATACCTAAAACATCTATGAAGGGGGCTAATTGAGCCAGTGTTGATGGTGTCACTAAACGTTCGGGATTAGCCAATTGTTTGAACAAGACTGGAAAGTGAACACGTTGAGTGATACGGATCGCGACAAGAACTGCACGCTGTCGTTCCGCGAATGTGATGACACCGACTATAGTAGATCGTTTCATTATGACGCGGTAAATATAACGCAAGACGTAAACTAACACACGCTGTAACTGGTTAAACGATGAAAATCGACGGAGAAAACAATCAGCCTGTGGACCTTTCTGGACAAGGTTGACAGCGGCAACAGCAGGTTTGACATCAGGAAGGTGGTGAACAGGGATCACAGAGAATTTAGATTTCGGCCATTGGTGTTCGGGAAGACGGAGAAACGAAGGTCCGTTCCAATGCAGTGCACACGAAATGAGAGCTTCAGGTAACAATCCCCGCGATGATGGATCAGCTGGATTCTCGATTGTGGAGACGTGTGACCACACGCAATTTGGGACCAGAAGATGAATTTTTGCTACACGGTTTGTTACAAAAATTTTGAAACTCTTTTGATCAGTCGTAAGCCACAACAATACCACGGACGAATCAGTCCAAGCTTGTATCTTCGAAATGCTGACGGTAGGAGATAGTTTCATATGAAGACAATGTAACAGTTGTGCCAATAACAATGTCGCGCATAATTCCAACCGAGGAATCGTAAGTGTCATGTCCGTGTCGCTGTTCTTCAGTGGGGCGACCTTCGTTTTGCCTGTAAGAAAATGTACCTGTACTCTCTCCGAGGAACTGACCACACGTATGTATACGGTCGCAGCGTACCCTAATTGGGAAGCATCGGCAAAGCCGATGAGTTGTACATCACGGTAGTCACGAGTGTCAATATGACGAATGAGTGCTATCCTCGATAAAGACGGCAGTTCGGCCAAGAATTGATGCCAAATGATACTTAAATTTGAAGGAAGAGGAGTGTCCCAGTCTACGGACTGTTGCCAAAGTTGTTGCATAAAGGACTTGGCCCATAACAACATTGGTCCCAAAGCCCCGACAGGATCGAAAAGCCTCGCAATCGTAGACAAGACCCCTCGTTTGGTGTCCGGCGCGCCGCAGACGTTGATATGGTATCCAAACACATCACCACGAGGGTCCCAATGAAGGCCGAGAACCTTTATGAACGGTTCCTCCTCCAGATCGAACGATGGGCGACTTACTACCTATTCTAGAGAAACACACCTTAACACGCTTGCACTGTTGCTACACCACTTCTTTAACCTGCATCCAGCTGACTGTAGTAATCCAATGATGTGATTTTGAACGTGAAGCAATTCGTCTTCAGTGTTGCGCCCAACTACAATGTCGTCGACATAAGTGTTATGGGTCAGAATCCCCTTTGCCGCAGGAAATTGTGGCTCGGAGCATTGATCTAAAGCATGCAGAACCCGGATGGCCAAAAAGGGAGCGGAACTCAGACCGTACGTCACCGTTAATAATTCATATTCTTGTACATCATGGTCAGGTGAACTTCGCCACAAAATGTGATGGTATACACAATCTTCGTCACGCACCTCAATCTGGCGATACATTTTAACAATATCAGCAATGAATATAAATTTATATAGACGGCATTGAAGTAATAATTCGCCTATGTCGCTCTGCAATTTGGGACCGACACATAATGTATCATTAAGGAATAAGCCTGAAGACGACTTAGCTGAAGCGTCGAAGACAACACGCAGCTTAGACACATCCCCATCACGTTTTAATACCGCGTGATGCGGAATAAAGTATTTACCCGGTCTGGACGCAAGTCTCATATACCCAAGGGACAAGTAGTCGTCCATAAAGGAACGATATGCGTTGTATAGTTTAGTATCCTTACCTAGACGTTGTTCCAAGTTGTACAGTCGTTTTAAAGCTAATGACCTCGTGTCCCCTAACCCATGAGAAGGTACATTATTTTCGGCACGAAAACTATCTCGGAACGGTAAAGCTACACAAAAGCGGCCGTCCGACTTCCTCGACGTTGTTTGCAAAAACCATCGCTCGCAGCATTCGTCTTCAGTCGTAGGGGAAATTGGAGAAACTGGCTCTTCAAAGGACCAAAAACGACGCATCAGAGTGTCAATGGACGGATTCGAACTAGCTGTTAATGATGTCAAAGGCGATGACTGCCGATCCTGTGCGGAGACGGTTCCGATCAAGATCCAACCAAGATGCGTGTCTATCGCTGACGGGAAACCTGGAGTATGCTTGATTTCACCCTCAGTATGAATGAGATGAGGAAATAAGTCACCTCCAATAAGCATGACGATTTTTGAAGGGTGATCGAACTGTGGATCTGCTAAGGCTAAATGTTGGTAACACGTTCGCACACTTGATGGTAACGGAGCTGATGGCAAATCTGACGTGATTTGATTGAGGACTATCAACTCGGGACAATTGAAAATTGGACTGGAAGCATGGTGTGGTAAAAAGGAACACGTGACGCTCCCTCTCACTTGCTTAACGGGACTTTGACCCAAACCTACTATTTCGGTCCGGCATTTGCGGCGGGCGAGGCCTAGTCGAGTGACGCACTCAGTAGTAATAGCAGAAATTTGCGAACCACTATCAACTAGTATACGTACATTATCATAACTGCCGGCTTTATTCCGTACGCGTACGATGGCTGTACCCAACAGTACCGTATTATCTGCCCGTGCAGCTCCTGCGAAATGAGTACGTTTCTCAGTACCGTCAGAGGGGTCAGCGGTAGTCACCTGATTCGACGTAGATGGAGAAGTAGTGCCCTCTCCTTTATTCAAATGTAGGAGTGTGTTGTACCGTTGACCGCAAGCTTTACAATTATATTTAGACGAGCACGCGTTTACCATATGAGAAGCGCTCAAACATGAAAAGCATAGTCGGTTTTTCAATGCATAGTCACGACGTTTAACAGCTGACCATTTTTTGAACGTATTGCATCGGTAAATTGCATGGTCACCTTGGCAACAAGAACAATATTTAGTTCCCTCAGAGGAAGCCGAGCCTACGTTGTGAGATGATTTCACGGACGGCGAACTACTGGTTGTTCCTGTAGACAACAACGATCGAGCACAAGACGTGGGCTTAGTTTTGTTAGTGCGAGTGTCGACCTTGAATAGACCTTGAGTGTATTCTAATATCTTACACCGTTGTTGTACGAACTTAATTAACAGGTCAAACGTAGGAATCGAATCATGTGTGACACTGTTTACAAAAAGGCGACGCGTGGCGGGGTCAAGCACCCGCGAACCGATAAAAAACAAAATGAATCCCGCCAGATCTGTTACCCCCAACGCTTTGATTGCTGCAATGTTTTCTTGAAAGACGTTGACGAACGTTAAGAGCGACGGTAGTGACTCCGTAGTGATCGGACGAAAAGCAAATAACTTATCTAAATGAGCCGTGGCAAGGAGACGTTGATTGTCATAACGTTCGATCATGGCTCCCCAAGCTATGTCATAGTTGGCTTCTGAGAGGGGTATAGACTTAACAATTGTACGTGCTGACCCAGACACACACATTAACAAATAGTGAAATCGTTTTAACTTTCCGATCTTTGGATTAGTATGTATCAATGATAAGAAAGTGTCTCGAAAAGAACATAATAATAAAAATAATTGAATAAATAACCTCTACTTGATTTTACAACATTTTCAGAACAATACAAATATTTTCAATGATGACACAACATGTAGATTTTCAATTTGAATAATTACATCAATAGATTCATAGTTATTTTAACAACTGATATCCTAAAAAAGAATTGAAACCTATTACTATTTAATAGTTAATATAAAATATTATTTTAATAAATTATCTTACATTTTTTTAAGTTGATGTGGGTGTTATTTTAACTTAGTTTAGCAGAAATTCAATAGCACTAAAATAATTAATTGAGAAAATAAAATATATAAATATATATTTATTAACCATACATCTGATGATTGGACCACAGCAGTTAATTCAATAAAATACATCAAGTAGTCATGTAGTTGAAATATTGTAGACAAAGTATAATACAACCAAAGTTCTGAAATGGTATTAAAAATTAATAATAATCAGATTTATAAAGAGCTTATTCAGTTGTACTTACAATTAATAGCAATAGGTATGTATATTTGATTTTCTGATAATCCAATATGTATACATATTTGCAAGTAGATATAAAATAGTTCAATTATAATGGAAGTTTCTATCTTCATAACTATCATTACCGGAATGGATCAAATCAATTGCCCACAGTATAAGCCCTAATATTGCAAATATTTAACTGATTGTAAAATTTTGTATATGTATATTTGCATGAAACTACCCATGATTAAATATAATTTTTTGATTTATTTTAATAACAAGTAAAAATGTAAAATAATAGTATGCAATTATAGAAGATAGAAAAAAAAATATTTAATGACTAATGAGTTATGTACACTGTCAGTTGTACTTCAAAATGTGTAGTACAAAATATGACAACAAATAGGCATAAAATTACATATTGTATTAAATTAAAATGTTATTAACAAATGTGTACTAAAATCATCTCCTATACTTACATTTTGGAGCTAAACTTTTTTTGATGATTGATAGTCCACAATGTTTGTTATCAATCATGGTATTGAAAAAATAACTTATTAATTAAACTAAATTAATTTTACTTTAGCACACGACTTTACACGAAACAGCTAAACATTATTTTAAATACCCAATCATTAACAGTTTTATCAAAATAGATTGGCATGCTATAAATTTAAAAAGGCATTGTAACGTGTATCGGTGTATAGGTAGGTACAGAATTTCAAAAAAAAGTACAGAATGATGCATTGTCATCCGCACGAACAATGAACATCCAAATAAACTAATATTTCATTTTTACATGTTTTAAGAAAAGTTTACAGTTGCTGTTTATCACGATTTCACGTTTTAACATAATTAGTAATTATTAATATGTTATTAATTATCTTAAATCGTAAATCTTTAATCTTAAATCATACAAACGTGCAGTTGATTCACCATTAAAGGTCGATTCGCACTATACGGAACGTCAACGTCACGTCACCGATCGGCAACGTCACGTCAAAATATCTTACTATGTATTTATACCGCAATGTTCACATACACCGGCAACATTACGTAACGTCAACGTCACGGAACGGCAACGTTTATCGAAAACTATATTTTGACGTGACGTAACCGGTCCGTTCTTGTCCTTAACGGATAGTATGAATGTCAACGCGGAACGTTTCCGTCAACAATTTAAATAAACTATATTTTGAATGTGTAAGCTCGTTAACTAAAAATTATAATTTTTGAATATTTAAATACAAAAATATAGACATATAAAGTAAGTAAACAATATTTATTTAATTCTCCAATTTACAGTAGAAAATGAAATAACATTAATCATTCGATTAATTAAATAACATATTAATAGTTTAAACATTAAATAGTCATGAACGATGAGATGTTGATTGAGGAAGTACGCCAATATCAAGAACTGTATGATATGACGCATAAAAAATATAGCGACAACATTCACAAAGATAATATCTGGAGAAAAATTGGTAGTGAATTGAAAACAACAGGTACCTAGATATAAACTTAATTTAACTAATATTACTTATTATTAGGTACTTAATATTACTTTTACAGCTTTTATTTTTTAATTTTACATAAACTTATCTCTCTGCCATGGTAATGATCCATTTTCAGAGTTAAAAAAAGTTTTATAGGTTTCACGCACATTAAAAGCAGTAGTGAGGGCATTTCCACCTTGTCTATGTATACGTCCCCAATTAGGTTCACATTCTGGTGGGTCTAAATGTTGGGTAATTAAAATATTATCTTTAATATAATTATGCAAAATACAAGTAGTTAATATAATATTGTCAACATTTTCGGGTAAAGATTTTATACTTCTAAAAAAGAATCGAAATTTTTGCACCAAGTTTCCGAATGCGTTTTCGGATAAGCGCCTAGCTCTTGACAATCTATAATTGAATACTTGTTTCTG